AAGAGAAATGCTGGCCTGGGGGAGTTGTTGCTTTATGTAAGGTTGTATAAACAAGCCTATTCTTTGTCCCAGAGCAAGATATTACCTCATTCCCAAGGCTGTCACAGCAAACACAATCCTGAAAAGTGACCCAGGTAAAGAGCTGTCAGGGGCTTGCATTCTTGGCATTCCCAGCAAGATGGATAGCAGTACAGAGACCCATGGAGGACTGTCTTCAACAGATTGTTGATTTAACATTTCAAGATACTAACAAAAGTAATAACTCTGTGTAAGTGTTAGTAGTAGTAGTAATATGTGGATATGAGCTGCCTGTTTGTTTAAAGTACATATATGTATATCTCAGAATACATATGTTGGACAGGATACAGTAAATATATAATATATATTAGGAAATTTGGAAATGAAAATAAAGAAATCTCCAGTAATACCACCATCAAGTATTATCCACTTTTTGCTTTGATTTTTTTTTGTTTTTCTATGTATATAAATTGATATCCAAGTCCATACACTATTTGTATTTTATTTTTTCCACATTTTGTTTCATCATGAGCATTTCTACTTAGTAAATATTCATCTAAAACTAATCAGTTTTAATAATATTCCATCATAGGCAAGCATCATAAATTATCATAAATGTTACTTGTCTCTTTTTAGCCTCTACATATTGGGAAACATTTATTAACATTGGAGAGACAACTAAGGAGAAAGAGATCTATGAAAAGCAGACCTGAGTTCTAAAACCCTAATCATGATGAAGGAGTCAAAGGCAAGCTGAGGGCAAAGCACAAACTAACACCCTGTAGACCACAGCCCCTACCAACCCCTCCTTACCCCTTCCCCTTGCCCCCAGGTAGGATATGTGTGACATTCCTCAGGCACTCCTGGGTACCCAAGAAGATAGGAAAGGAAAAAACAAATGGTTAACAGAGAGATCACAGTCATGCAGGACAAGAGTCTCTATCAGTTTACAAAAGTCTTAATGAATTACATGAGAAAGGCCATTTAATCAATAGCTTAACCTCCAGAAACCCACAGACATAGACATCACCCTCCCCTCCATAGTGATATGAGAAACAAAGACAAGAAGAAAATGTAGATAAAATTAAAATTACATTTCTTTATAACCTGCAGCCCATTGACAAATACTTGAGCTAGGCAAAGTAAAACATTCTTCCAAGAAACTCTCAACTGTCTTGTCTTAATGTTAATGCTTTACTAGAGGGAAAAATAATTCTAGCTCAACAATAACAAGGCCTCCAGTAGCCTATGAATCCTCTTTAGCATATGAAAGTCCTTTTGGAAACCTCCCTTTCTCCTTACCCATCTCCAAATCCATAGTATATAATCAGTCACCCCTCACATTTATAACACAGCTCTTTCTGTCCACAGATCTTGTCCCTGTGCTTTGATAAAAATCACCTTTTTGCACCAAACATGTCTCAAGAATTCTTTCTTGGGGCCATTGGCTCAGGATCCCCACTCTCACTCCAAAACCTCATCAGTGGCTACCCTAGAGTATGATCTAAAGAGAAACTCAGGTTCATAAATATTCCCTTGAGTTATCAAGAAAACATTTCATTGAAGTTTACACTGTGAAAGAGATGAATTTAAGATATATTTAACAAATATTCTGAATAATGTGCTTAAAATAGCTCTCTTCATTTTTTGAAGAATGTATTTATGTGAAACCAACTGTTTTCTGACATTAAATATGAGGAACTGTTAGTTATTAGTTTGCTAAATAGGCCACATATGTCATTCTTTTCCATTTTGCTTTCATTTCATCTCATGATTAGTTTCCTTCACTGGAATTTTTACCATAAAGGGAAGACACAGTGTTAGCTAATCAAATAAAATTTAAAAAAAAAAAAAAAAACAAGGAAGAATGAAAACATAGATCACAAATGATATTCTAACCAGAGGATGCAGAAATGGAAAAAGTGTGTGCTATGAGATATTAACGTACATTTCTTTTGTTTATAAGCCAGATAGGATTGAGCTAGCCTTCCAGGATTTTTGGAAAGAAAATCAAAATAATGGAATTTTGTTTATCTGATTAGTGTCTTGTTTTTTGGTGCTTTCTCTTCTGCTTTATCACAGTTTACATTGGTGCTTCAAGAATTATGTTTGTGTAAGTTCCCTGTGCATGTAAAAAAGCCAGTTAATTCAACTTTATTGTGATCCAAATGTGTTAAGCCAAAAGAAGCTTAACCTTCTTTGGGTTCTATTAAACTTTTGTTTATCCAGTTCTTCCTAAAAAAGGTAATTAATTTAAGTCAAACAAGTTTGTAACAGGGATCAAAGCAGAACAGCAGCTGTGAAGGGCATGACACAATGACCAAACTGTGATACAAAACCTGAGGGGGGCTTAGAGGAGGCGAGGAGAGTATAAATTCCTTCCAAAGAAGAGTAACTTTTCTTTCCTCAAGTCTTAAAACTGTAGCAAGATGAAGAGGACAGCAAGTGTGCTGACTAGTGTACAAAATCTCTAGGAGCCCCCACAGTTAGGAGAGGGAAGGCAGAAAAAGGATGCTGTTGATGATGAATCAACCAAACCTTTTTGTGAGGAGACTCCAGGGATCACCCTCCCATGGAAGGTCCTGAGGAACTATGGAGAGGGCAAAGGAACAGTAGCGATGATAAGCTCAGGCTGGCCTCCAAAGACCACTTAAATTCTAATGGATCTAAATGTTATAATTTTTCCAGTTAAAAGAAATCTTCATCATAAACACCAATTTGCAAAGAGAAGGTACAAATACCAAAACATGTACTCATCTGTTCTAATATAAAGAACCCTCTATTATACAATTACTTATCAGGGGAAAGTCCTTAGTTTTGATAAATAACACCTCACTCAACAAAGAGTAGCCTAATGGATTCTTTTAGCATACTATTTTAATGTTTAGCCAAGAAAAACAACAAAACAAAACACAAAAGCAAAAAAAACAAATACTCTGAGAATCCTTGGTTTAGTTTTAGGGTATTACTATCAATATGTTTGTTTAATATAATTGCTCAGTTCTGTGGTTACATATATAACTAAAAAGATGCAGAAATCATAGATGCCTTAAGGAGAAAAAAAAAACAAACAAACTATGACTGTGCCCGTTTGTGTCAGGCACTTTGTAAAGGAGATCTCATTTGATTTTCACAACAAATCAGCAAAACTGGGCAACTTAGCACTTGCCCAGCTTGATATAGCTTACAGGAAGAGAAGCTAGGATCTGATTTTAAAATGGTATGGCTTCAGAATCTATGTTCTGTCCATTATACTACACTACCTTCTATCACTTCCTCATATAGGAAAGTGAAGGACTGACTCTTCAATGGGTAAAGTCATGAACCATAGATTATTTTCCCAGTTGAGCCAAAAAATGCATTGTCATGCTACAGAGATATTAGGAAGTGCTTTAAAGGAAGTGAGAAAAGGCCCTATCCACTGGAAAACTTTCTTGATATTCTAAATATTTCCAAAATCCTGGGGATTCCTCTGCCAGTCAGCAGGGACCAGCCACCAAAGAATTGATTGTACATATGACTGGGGATTCCCCAGTCATCACCTTTATTTTCCCCATCACAGCATGAAGAAATATTACACCATAGAAGAGATACTTGCTACCTCCTGCATTAGCCATCCCCAACACAATCTTTAAAATGTGTACATATAGAATAATTAAAGCCTACAAAATGTGTGTAAAATAATACAACATATAGCCTAGGTACCTGCATACCAACTTGTGAAATACCTTACTAGTCACATCAGATTTTAAGACATAAATATAATGAGGTGAAAAGAAAAACTCAAAAGGAAAAGAATTTCTTAATAAGTGTTATTACATATAGTGTAAGGGGAACCCATTAGAAAGCCAGATATATTTTTTGTCCCAAAACACATTAAATAATTTATATGGAATGCTTAACATGTCTAAAAAACATACCTCTAACAGAAAATATACAACAAAAGAAAAGAGATGCTTCTGTGTAGAACTGAGTAGTATCAGAGATACAACCATGAAACTCTGGGCTGTGAACTCTCAAAGCAGACAGCAGGCACAATGACATGTTAAATTGCCTACATAATGTATAGTTTAATAAATCCCCTTGTGGGTAGAACACACTTGGCATCAATCAAGAGCCATGAACAGATTCCTTTATTTTCTCAATATTCATCTAATAAATTGAAACTTCAATTAACCTTGGACAGCAACTTTAGTAGCAAGAGATAACCGTTGATACCTTCTAGGATACACAATCATTAAACATAATAAACACACATCATGAATTTTTTCATTTGAAATTAGAATTGTTATGCTTAACAACTATTTGCATAAAATATGCTGAAGACACTGGGATGCGTAACGTTTGGCATTTATCTGAAGTCTAGATTTGCCATACTATATTATAAAGTGCTAATATCATATTCATGGAAAAAAAGAAATAGCATATTACCAAAACTTTAGAATCCTCTAAGAACTGATCTCTGATCACACATCCCACGCTCCCTCATAGCCTAACTACTACTCTGAATTGTATGCTTATTCCCATATATGTTTTATACTTTTACTCCATCTGTATGTATACAACATATATCATAGTCTCTTTATGTTTGCAAAACTAAAGATAAATAATTTTACACAGTATGAACACTTCTGCAACTTGCTTTTTCTTTCTCTCCTTTTTTTCATGATCATTATATTTGTAAGATTCACCCATGTTGATATAGAAGGCTAATAACATTTGCATAATTCTTTTGTATCATTATACAACCATGTAGCCATTTTCCTATTGACAAACAGAATTGCTTCAACATTACAAGTAATATTTTTCAAAATGTTTTTATACCTGTGCTAACACATGAGAATTTCCCTAGACAACATTTAGAAGCAAAACTTCTGGAATAAAAGGTATATACATCTTCAACTAAACTAGATATTGAAAAATTGTTGTGAAATAGGTCAGACAAATTCACAACCCCTCTGACCTTTCAACTCTTTAAACAGATATTGCCAAACAGAAATTTCAACTCCAAGCATGCTTTGAATCTGGATGGATCCTCATTCCAACAGGTATTTTATTTATTATATTTTTTTAAATTTTTTTCATTTTTGAGAAAGACAGAAGGCAAGCATGGGAGGGGCAGAGAGAGATGGAGACACAGAATATGAAGCAGGCTCCAGGCTCTGAACTGTCAGTACAGAGCCCAATGTGGGGCTGGAACTCATGAACTGTGTGAGATCATGACCTGGGCCAAAGTCAGACAATTAACTGACTGAGCCACCCAGGTGCCCTCTAGCAAACATTTTAAAAAGTTTGTTTGTTTATTCACAATAAGTTCTACCTCCTCAATCCATGTAATTTATGAGGTAATCAGATCACAGTCTAAACTGACTGTCAGTAATTAAATGTGGCTTTTCTCATGTTCAGTATACCCATTCTGAAAAATAAAGATATCTCACCTCTTCCTGAGAACTATTTGGCAAAATCTATCAATGGCCTTAAAAACAGACTAGTCTTTGAATCAGAGTATCTAGGAATTTACTCTAAGAACATATTCAGAGGTATACATGAAAAGTTGTATATCAAGATATTTGCCTTAGTGTTAAATGTGATGTCCATTGCAATATTGTCCATTACAGACAAGCAAAAAGTCTATCAAGTAGGAATTGAATAAATGGTTGTATATTCACATAATTGAATATTAAGTGGAAGTGGAAAAAGATGAGGTGGATGAAAATGAACTGACATATTATTTCAGTTATTGATTGCTACCTAAAAACCACTCAAATATAAAGTTTTTACTTATTATTTTCAATATGCTGTGGATTGACTGGAAGTATTCTCCTGTTTCTTCTGGTGTTAGCTGGCCCCATTTAGTGGGTCTATTGAATGTCTGCTCCATTCAGCTGGCAAGAAGACCTCCCTCACACATCTGTCATTTGCTGCTGGTTGGCACCAATTCCCTTCCATAAAGCTTCTGTTCATAAGGCCAGACCATCTTCCTTACGACATGGCTGCTGGGTTCCAGGAGGGAGTAATCTAAGAGGTCAAGCCCCACTGTGGAAGTTCTTAGTAAGTCTCTGCTTGTTTCAGGCTTGCTAATGTCTCATTGGCCAAAGCCAGACAACATGGCCAAGCCAAGACACAGTGTGTGAGAGACAAAGGTGTGGATTCCAGAAAGCATGGTTCATTGGGGGTTACCAACGTAACAGTCTGCCACAATTATTACGTAAACAAATGAAAAACAGAAGAGCAGAATAGGGAAACCATTGTTTTTAAAAGGTTTGCATAGGGGCGCCTGGGTGGCTCAGTCATTTGAGTGTTTGACTTCAGCTCAGGTCATGATCTCACCGTTTGTGGATTCAAGCCCCATTGGCCCTTGTTGCTGACAGCACAGAGCTAGCTTTGGATTCTCTATCTCCATCTCTTTCTGCCCCTCTCCTGCTCACACACACACACACACACACACACACACTCCCTCTCTCTCTCTCTTAAAAATGAATAAACATTACAAAAAAATTTTTAATTAAAAAAATAAAAAGGTTTGCATAGAATGTATCTGGAAGTATATACTAACACTGTCTCAAACAGTGTTTGAAACAGTGGAATGAAAGTTACACGAGAAGTGGTAGTCAAGAGCAGACTTTTTTTTTTTTTTTTTTTGAGAGATAGGGAGGGCACAAGTGAGCGAGGAGCAGAGAGTGAGAGAGAGAATCCCAGGAAGGGAAGAGGAGACAGAGAAGCAGGGCTCAAGTTCACCTAAAGCAGGGCTCAAACTCACAAACCATGAGATTATGACCTGAGCCAAAGCCAGATGCTTAAACAACTGAGCCAATCAGGCATCTATGAACAGATTTTTTTAAATATTTATTTTTGATGGGGCGCCTGGGTGGCTTAGTCGGTTAAGCGTCCGACTTTCGCTTGGGTCATGATCTCGCGGTTCGTGGGTTCGGGCCCCGCGTCGGGCTCTGTGCTGACTGCCAGCTCAGATCCTGGAGCCTGTTTCAGTCTGTGACTCCCTCCCTCTCTGACCCTCCCCTGCTCACGCTGTCTCTCTCTCTCTCTCTCTCTCTCTCCTAGAAATAAATAAAACATTAAAAAAAATTAAATATTTATTTTTGAGAGACAGAGAGAGAGAGCATGAGCGGGGTAAGGGCAGAGAGAGAGCCAAACACAGAATCTGAAGCAGGCTCCAGGCTCTGAGCTGTCAGCACAGAGCCTGATGCAAGGCTTGAACCCATGAGCTGTGAGATCATGACCTGAGTCAAAGTTGGACACTTAACCGACTGAGCCACCCAGGCACCCCTAAGAACAGACTTTTTAATGCAAGTATGTGTGTGTTGTGAATTTTTTATAATAATCGTATATTTTATAATTTTAAAATTATGATAGAAGATGAGGTTATACAAGAATAATTACATAAGTAAATGCTCGTAATATGTCAACTGTAAAAAATGTTAATGGTGATTATTTCAGAATGAAAGAATTGTGGCAATTTATTTACTCTTCATGGTTTTCCATGTCTGCTACATTTTGTATGAGAAATATACACACAAGATTTTTAAATTTAAAAAAATGAAGAGGAAACAATGAACTCAAATCATTTGCTGTCTTTTTTTTTTTAGTGTTTATTTTTGAGAGAAAGAGAGTGTGTGCACGTTGGGGAGGGGCAGAGAGAGAGGGAGATAGAGGACCCAAAGCAGCCTCCACACTGTCGATGCAGAGTCCAATGGTGGGCTGGAACTCATGAACCGTGAGACCATGACCTGAGCTAAAGTGGGAAGCCCTGTTTTCTAGTCTTTCTTATTCTGCATACAAGTATTTCTAAATTATTGCAGCATGACTTTATCTGCATTTTACATTACAAAAATGCTCATATATCTAATAGTAATAAAATTTTCCTAGTGGCAAAGTAGACTACGTGTTACTCTACTCTGTTTCATGCTTTGCAGTCTAATAAGATCATGAAGCAACTGTAAAGTGCTCCAGAATGATAGGTTTTTCCAAATATGCATTTTGGATTTCTCAAACCTAAATCCATATTGCTGTCTTACAAGGAAGTTTCTTATGAAGCACTTTCCCAATCGTTTAGAGCAGTCTTCAGGTCTTAATCATTTCATCAGTTCTTTGACAGCAAGGAAAAGCATACTTCTTTACTGTTGTTTAAGAATCGATTTTCCCCTTGCATTCAATTATTTTTAAATATACAAATAAATATAATATTGGATGTGATTTAATTTGTTTCAAAAATGGGCATTGTTACTATTTTCTTGTCCCATTTAACTGAAGCAACAACATTCTATATGATGAAAAAATCAAGACTATTCTGCTTCTTTTAATAAGAAGAACACTTTTTAATTAAACCTATGCTTTAAAAATATATTAATTATAATTCACGGAGATCTCATTAAATTTAACCCCATTTAAGATACAAAACAGATATTATTTATTAGAATACATAACACCCATAATGAAAATAATAAACATGCCTATTCACAGCATTTTGGGGATAGTGACTCTTGCTGGGACTGAGGGAATGGAAAGGGTTTAAGGAGGAGGTTTCCTTAGGTGTATCTATAATTTTTTCATCAAAAAAGAGGACAGACTGAAAGAACTGTTATACCTGGGTGCTAGAAAAATAATCATCTATTATATCGTCTTCTGTAATTGTAATTAAAATATTTTTAATTAGAAAAATAAAAACTAATTATGTGCAGCTGGTGCCATCATCAAGCTGGCTAAGACAAAGCCACAGACAGCTGATGAGGTGATTCCTGAAAGAAACCAGGCCCAGAAAGGAATCAGATGCTCCATAACCCAGTCATGCCAGGGTTATTTTTAGGCCAAGAATGTGTTCCAAGACATATATGCAACAGGACTGCACTTTCTTAATTCAATGTCTCTGGGCAAAAAATAAAGCCCTGGTTTTGGCAGTGTGTGCCTGCTTTTTAGACTTTTGTCTGGCTCTCTCCTGCTTTAGGAACTAGAACCTGATGAGAGGTGAGACTCATTAGAATACACATAAATTTCCAGTATATGGAATTTGCTTGACAAAGAGAAGGTATCAAGGGGTACAAACTTTTCTTCCTTTGGCCAGAGTTGACCTTTCTCAAACCTAGGGAAGAAATACCAACTGGAGACTTGAAGGAAAAATCTTTAAGAACTTACATTCTAGCAAATGCAGAAATGTGCAATTTACATAATATCACAATCTCTGGAATTCCTACGCGGTACTATATGTAAGATTTTCCAGGGCCTTCAGTGAAAAAAGGACACTTACTTCCACTATAGCTCCTGTGAATATGGTCTAGGGAATACAGACAAGATTCTGTACTTGGGCAAGCAATTGTAATTATAACTGAAATATGGGTCATGATGGGTAAAGCAGTACAATTATGGAGAGATGGGATATCAAGCGGGCATATCTTCCCATGCCTTATAGATTACTACAGAAAACATGGTCACCATCCCTCTAAACAAGTTGTCTAAATTCCCAATCAACTGATCTTTCTACTGAATTAGAGTTCAAATCCGATAGATGATTAAGCTTTCTAGTCACTTTTGTAACGTAACAGATTCCCTGCCTCCCTCCTAACCTGACCCCAGTTCTAATGCTCCCTTTTGAAATTTCAGCAGTATGGGTGGCCCCTGTATAGGGGAGAAGGGGAGATGGAGTGGAGTAGGAGTGGTATGTGTGTGTCTTTGGGTATACATCTGTGTGTGGGGTGTGCATATGGTATATGCTGTGTGCATGCTTGTAAGTTCCCAAGTGGATCTGAAACATTCTCTCCTTGGAGCTTGGATTAGACATACTTTACTTGGGCTTAATTACATACCTATGACACAATTCAGAGATTTACTTCACAAACATTCTTCATTATTAATGTATCAATGCACCATTTTCTTTTCCTAGAGATGGTACCTGGACCTGAGCAGAGGACTTAAGAAATTGCTGTTAAGAGGATAGTAAGTAGCTTCGGCATTTTGGAGTAGAAACTGGTCTTGATTCTTGGGGGAACTCTCTCATTTGTCTATAAGGAATTACTGTGTTCAGACTTTTAATTGTAAGAATGCGAGTTCTGCGAAAACAGGAGCTGTATCTATTACTTACCACTGTATCCCAAATACTTGGTAAAGTGTTTGGCACATGGTACAAACTCAGTAAATATTTGTTCAGGGCAAAGGACAATCAATGCAGAGGTAAACTTTGTTCTCAGAAAGCCCAGTAGCAATGAAGCACATAAATGCAGATGGTCAAGACTAAATCCATAATCCATCTGTGTCATGATATAAATAAAAGGCAGTCATCTTTGAGGCCTAAGGGCCTGAGGTTGTTTGTTATAGTGTGTTTGGCTATTCGTGTTAATGTTTTCCTTCCTTCAGATTAGGCTTTCAATAGAAAGTTTTGGAGCTCTGATGTGGCCCACAGAAAAAGGGAAAGAAAAGGAAATCTGAAGGGGAAGTCTAGGGAAAAGAAGCTGCCCCCAGCCTTGCTCCTCACCACCGCTGCCACCTCCCCACCCTACAGCCCTCTTTCCCTCCAAGCAACCTACAGGGCCTCAGGGGAAGTGTGGCCAGTAAGGAACACTCTCTAAGAAGCCTGACCTAGAATAGTGACTACTGAGGTAGTGTTAAGTTCTTGTCTACATTGTAATTCCTTAGGTGTCCTAAGCCTTAGTGAAAGCTGAGTTTAGGATTCAGAATTAGGTCTTACATGAACAGATATTTCTTCAAAGACATACAGATGGCCAGCAGATACATGAAAAGATGTTCATCATCACTTACCATCAGGGAAATGCAAATCAAAACTACAATGAGATATCACTTCACACTGTCAGAATGGCCAAAATCAACAACACAAGAAACAACAGGAGTTAGCAAAGATGTGGAGAAAAAGGAGCACTCATGCACTGTTGGTAGGAATGCAAACTGATGCAGAAACTGTGGAAAACAGTACAGATATTCCTCAAAAAATTAAAATAGAATTACCCTACAACTTAGCAATCATGCTACTGGCTATTTACCCAAAGAATACAAAAATACTAAATCACAGGGACATATGCACCTCTATGTTTACAGCAGCATTATTTACAATAGCAAAATTATAGAAGCACCCCAAGTGCCCACCAACTAATGAATGGATAAGAAGAGGTGATATATAATGGAATGTTATTCAGCCATTAAAAAAGAATAAAATCTGCCATTTTCAATGACATGGATGGAGCTAGAGAGTATTATGCAAAGTGAAATACGTCAGTCAGAAAAGACAAATACCATATGATTTCATTCATATATGGAATTTAAGAAATAAAACAATCAAATAGCAAAAAAAAAAAAAAAAGAAAAGTAAAACAAAGAAAAGAAAAGAAATAAAGAGGTAAACCAAGAAACAGACTCTTAACTATAGAGAACTGATGGTTACCAAAGGGAAGGTGGATGGGAAGATGGATTAAATAAGTGATGGGGATTAAGGAGTACCCTTGTGATGTGCTGGTGTTATATTGAAGTTTTGAATCACTACAATACACACCTGAAACTAATATAACAATGTACGTTAACAAACTGGAATTAAAATAAAAGCTTTTACAAAAGAAAACTGAAGGCTGAGAATGGGGAGCCACAGAAGCATGTAGGGGTTATATTCAGAGGCAGCAGAATAAAGAAAGCAAACAAAGGAGTCTAAAGCCATCACTAGAAATGGCCCTGCTAAACACAAATCTCAATGGATTCGAAAAATGAGGAACTTCTTCCGAAAGTACTTAATGAACACTAGCAGAGAGAAGAAAACTAAAATAACAGCTTTGAGCAGGAATTTGGAAAGAGGCCCTGGAATAAATATTTAGGGTCTTAAAGGAAAAGGTGTTATTTGGCAGTCTGAACAACTTGAAATTTGGAGTGAGCCCAATGATTGATATGAGGATCTGAGCCTATTCTCCTTCTTAGGTGAAGACTCTAAGCTATTAATTTAGTGTTTAATCATTCCATAAGCATTCAAGTATTTGCTAGTAGCAAAGCAGTGTATTGACTGAAAAGGGATAAAGATATATGTGCATATGCATATTTCTCTGTGTACATACGCACCTATCCTACACAGGTACTAAATGTATTTACACATACACACACACACACACACACACACACACACATATATATATATACATATACATAGTAAACATCATTTTATACCTATGATTCACCCTTATTAATGACTATATATTATGTCATAGTAATGTTTTCTTATTCATTCAGCCAATTTATGAATACGTATTGAATGCCTATAAATCAGTAAGAATGCATTCAGCTACAAGTAATAGAAAAGCTCAGTACAAAATGAGGCTTGCCTAAAAATGACTGAGAGCTCACTCTAAACAACAAGGTATCTGAGACTCGGGACCTCCTTTCTCTCAGTGGAAGGAGCTATACCCCACCTTGGGCCCCACAGGACTCATGGTTTGCTCCATCTCATAAACCTTAAGGCAGCTCTGTTCCCAGAAGACTCCTGTGACACCTGATAACCCCAAAGCTAAACAGCCTATGTATTATTATCCCACTGACAAGGCTGTTGTCAGTGATTGCACTCTGAGGAGAGGAAGAATGGAGACACACAGTGCATGTTGCAAAGAGTGCCAAGCCCCTGCATGTTTGCCAGCATGATGGGAAGATGGGGACGAGTCCTTCGTGGGAAGATGGGGACGAGTCCTTTGCTTCTTTTACCAAGTTTGGGTGTGTGGGTGTGGCTTCTGACAATGGTTCAGTGACGAGACTACACCAGGGCAAATGTTTCTGCTATTTTCTTGGCCTTTTCCTCATCCCTATTGCCCTGTGATTACAAGACACCTGTTACTTGCTATTTTGATTTGTAATTTTTTTAAATGTAGATATAGTGCATAGGCTGCAAATAGTACTCTTGTTGTGGACTGCAAAGGTTAAGTGCAAGCCCCTTTTTCCCTCCACTTGAAACAATTCATCAAGCCAACCAATGATTTTCACATTGCTGAATCAAATAATTCACAGTCCTCATTCCCGCTGACCACCAACATTTGACAGTTGATCTCACTCTGCTTTTTGAAACATTTTTTTTTTTCATTTGGTATCTAGGATAAAACTCTTCCTTGATTCTTCTCCTTCCTCATTGACTACTTCTTCCCAATCTCCTTTAGGGGTCCCTCCTAATCTTTCCAGCTTCTGAATGCTGGAGGGCCCAAAGACCCAATCCTAGAACTTTTCTCATTCTTTGGGTGATCTCATTCAGTTTCATAGCTTATTTCACTGACAGTTTTAAATTTCTCTCTCAAGTTCTTGAAACCCAGACTTATTTATCCATTTACCTTTTAACTTCCTAGTTAATACTTTAATAACAATCTCAAATTAATATGAATAAAACTGAACTCCTTATTCCTCAAACCTTACCTTTAAAACACTGCTCCTCCACAGACTTCCCCATAATAGTGGCAACATCCTTTGTAGAGTTATTCAAAGAAGAAATCTGTAGTTACTCTTGATTTTTCTTTTAATCTCTTCTATTCACTCTATCAAGAATCCTACTGGGTCTAGCTTTTGTTTATTATTATTACTCAAGTATGATTAACATGCAGTGCTATATTAATTTCAGATGTATAATATAATGATTCAATAATTCTTTATATTTCTCAGTGCTTATCAAGAAACGTATATTATTAATCCCTATTTTCTATTTCACCCACCCCACTACCCACTGCCCTTCTGGTGACCACCAATTTTTTCTCCATATTTAAGAGTTTTATTTTTTATTTGTCTTTATTTATTTGCTTTATTTCTTAAATTCCACATATGAGTGATATCATATGGTATTTGTCTTTCTCTAACTGATTTATTTCATTATACCCTTAGCATTTTACCCTCTAGGTCCATCCATGTTGTTGCAAATGGCAAAATTTCATGCTTTTTTATGGCTAAGTAACACTCCATTGTGTGTGTGTGTGTGTATATATATATATATATATATATATATATATATATATACACACCACATCTTCTTTATCCATTCATCTATTGATGGACACTTAGGTTGCTTCCACATCTTAGTTATTATAAATAGTGCTGCAATAAATATAGGGGTGCATATGTCTTTTAAAAACTAGTGTTCTAGTTTTCCTTGGGTAAATAAATACCCAGTAGTGGAATTACTAGATCATATGGTGATTCTACCTTCAATTTTTTGAGGAACCTCTATACTGTTTTCCACAGTGGCTATACCAATTTGCATTCCCACAAACAGTGCAAAACAATTCCATTTTCTCCACATCCTCACCAACATTTGTTATTTTTTATTATTGATTTTAGCCATTCTGACAGATATAAATTAATATCTGCATTTCTGTGATGATTGGTGATTTGAGTATCTCTTCATGTTCTTTTGGGCACCTACTGGCTCTGTTTCAACATAAATTCAGGATCTTTTACAACCTCAAATGCCACTACGCTGGTCTAAGGACTTATCATGCTCACCTGATTATTATAAGAGCCTCCTAACTATATTGCCAACTTCAGTTCTTGCTTCCTATATTCTATTCTCAACAGTGCCCAAAATGACTATTTTAAAATGTGTCAGATTATGAGCAAAAGATAAAGCCATCAAAATAGCTTAAAACTGCTACATGCTCTTATCTGCCCTCCTTGCCGTTCCTTCTAAAACAGAAGATTTTAAAGAGCTAGAAACCATCTATGACAACAGTTCAAGTTCAGGGGTTCTCAATATATGATGCACATTTCACTAATGGTAACAATTTACCTTATATTCCTAACCAAATATATCAGACATACCTCCTTCCCTCTGGCCTACTCTCTTATCTGCATGTACAGAATTTTAAGTATCAGGTCACTGGCAAAGTTCCCAATTCCAAAAGTGGTTCTCCAATTCCAGAAATGGGTTACTATTATTGCTATAAATATTTAACGATCTTCTACTGCCAATAAAAACAAGCTTT